TGGTCCATTGATTAGTTAGATAATATGATCATGAAAGCACAAACTTAAAGGGATTGATCTCAATTTCAAACCCTTGAAAACCTTTTATATTTTGAAATTGTTATGGCAAAAGGGATGAGAAAAGATAAAACAAAACAAGCACACAAGAATTTGCAGGCTAATGCAGATTGAGGCTTTGCTTTTTGGATGATATTCCCCAAATACTTGTGCATCAGTCTAAGGTGTGCGCCTCAGGTGCACTTTGTATGCCTTTTGCACATAATCATATGAAGAGCTTGTCTTAGGCTCTTGTTAAACCTAGTACAGTAGATTGTTTAAACATACTAAAAGAACAACCTCTTTGACAACTATATTCATAGGAAAAATCATGTTAAAAAAAAAAAAAGAAGAAGAAGCAAAGTTCAGGCTCAAGTAGGGGTGCAACTCGGGCGGGTTCGGTCGGGTTGGGGGTTTGCCCAAGCCCGACCCGAATTATATTTGGCACTGCCCAAGCCCGCCCAAGCCCGACCATGAACCCGAACATTGTTGCCCAAGCCCGGCCCAAGCTTTGTATTTTGAACTCGGGTTGCCCGAATTGCCCGAGTTTAGAAACCTGTAGGTAGATCTAAGGGTAGACATAAAAGATGCTAATCTAATGGTAGAAAACTAACCAAAAAAAAATAAAAAATAAAAATTAAGACTAACTCTTTTACTTAATTTATATATATTACATAATTTATTAAATTATATATATATTATATATTATATATTATATAATTTATATAATATATTAAATTGAATTCGGGTTCGGGTTCGGGTTGCTCGGGTTGGCCATTGGTTCTGCCCAAGCCCGGCCCGAATTGTAATTCGGGTAACAAAAATCTGCCCAAGCCCGTCCAGATTACAAGATATAGTTGCCCAAGCCCTAAAAAAACTCAGACTGGACTCGGGTTGCTCGGGTTGAGCCCGCCCGAGTTGCACCCCTATACAAAAGGCCATAAGGCAACAACCTAGTTAAAGGCAGTTCCAACAACCTAGCATAAGGGAACAACTGACAACTTGACTATGCAGTAGCTAATCGAAACAAAAGTTAGGAACGACAAAATAGAAACAAACGCTAAGGGAGGCCACTCTGTCCCGAGGCTGCAGATATTAAAAAAAAATTCTAAAACAAGTATAAATTTTTTTTTACAAATAATAGGCTGCACTTGGGTAAAGAAAGAGAAAAAAGAATACACTTATTTTTTCAATCCCCTCACTATTTTTCTAATCCCATACTCTCACTAGCTTTGGTAATCCTACTGTGTAATGGAACTACTAATCTGGCTGGATAAATAATCCCACCACTGATGTGGGATAACAAACATGCTTTCAAAGTTCCAACCTCACTACCAGTCCAATCCCACCACTGATGGGGGATAACAAACATGGCCTAAAAGAATTACCCATTTATGAGAGCAATGCAAAAAATTTGAATCTCTGCATTACTTACAGCAATTTAATCTTGTTCAACTTCTTCAAACACTAAACAAGATCTTCTAGTATGCTTCAATCAAATGGAAGTTGTGCGAATCATATTCATCAAATCAGACCTCTTTCAATTGAAACCAAAAAAAAAAAAAAGTTCTCTTATTTAATCCTTAGTTCTCCTATTTAATCCTTCAAAGATAAGAGTTGCAAGAGTAATTTTTTTATTTGTAGAGAAATACTGTAATTTTATTATATTATTTATTTATTTTTCTTTGTTTAGAGATTGTAATACATATTTACGATTTTTATTTTTTTTAATTTATAATTAAAAATTATATTTTAATAAAATAAAGAAAAAATAGGGAATTTGTTAATAGAATAGAGAAAGAATAGAGAGCGTGTTGGGAGAACTAAATAAAAAAATGATTTTATGATAAAATTTAAATAAACTGAGTGGGATGCTCTAATACTAATTGGCATTATAAAAGTAAACAAATTCACCATTCCTAGTTCAAGTAATCATGAGGGGCATTTACGTGACAGTAAAATGAGATTTTATGTGATCATGAGGGGCATTTACGTGACAGTAAAATGAGATTTTATGTTCAAGTTGTCGATATATTGGAATGTTCTAACTTTACGAACTTATTCTGTGAAAAAAAATGGAAAACTTACGTATATGTCCTAATAAATAGACGTATTGTCTTATAGATCTTATGATAATTAATGATTTTTTTATCAAATATTATTAAAAAAATGTCACTAATTACAAATTTGAGTGACGGTTTTAAAAAATATCACAAAAATTGTCACTAATTTTTAACTTTCAGCAGTTTAAAAAATTTGTCACAAAAAAATGTCATTAATTATAAATTTTAGCAACAATTTATAAAAACCATGATAAAAAAAAAAAGAAATTCAAAATTGTGAAACTTCTCAAAATTATGAAAATTGTGTGAAATATTTTATTTGTTTTAATTTTCAATTGACTACCGCAAACTAAGAAATTCTAGAATGATATTTTTCTTAATTTCATAGAAGTGAAATTTATAAAATTTAATTGAGAAATTTGTAGTTTTCTAAAATTCAAAAATTTGAATAAAGTTTCACAATTTCATTCCAAATTTTCCTTTTCAAGACGAAATTTCTTAGTTACTAGTAGGGGTGCAACTCGGGCGGGTTCGGTCGGGTTGGGGGTCTGCCTAAAATTCTTAATAGCTGGCATCATTCCTATGTATAAGTTAACCTAACAGTTGATTAACAGGTAAAGAAAATTGTAATGTGACAAAAAAATATAGGGAGGGCCATGTAATTTTTAGAACCGCAGAGGTACTAATTTATTAGCTAGAAACCTCAAGGGAAATTCTGTGGAATTTATCCTATCCATAATAGAATTCTAATACTAATCTTTATTTGTCTCTCTTATTTTTATGATGAAGGGAAAATAATAGGCCCACTATATTAAGCAGCCACATAGAAGGTGAAAGAATTCGGTGAAACAGAATCAATTGATGCTCATGAATAATTAGAAAATATTTTCTGGAAATTGAAAAGTTTGTCAATTGAGGGACTTCCAATTCAAAATTGTGAAACTTCTCAAAATTATGAAAATTGTGTGAGATATTTTATTTGTTTTAATTTTCAATTGACTATCGCAAACTAAGAAATTCTAGAATGATATTTTTCTTAATTTCATAGAAGTGAAATTTATAAAATTTAATTGAGAAATTTGTAGTTTTCTAAAATTCAGAAATTTGAATAAAGTTTCACAATTTCATTCCAAATTTTCCTTTTCAAGATGAAATTTCTTAGTTATTAGGATGAAATTTACAATCTGTTGGTAAGAATTTCTCATTTTCATTTATCGAATTTCCTAAGTTCGTATAAAATTTCCATGTTTCTAAAATCATAGAGAAAATTTTCAACTTCTTGATCTTTTTGCAAAAAAATCAATTCGATGAATTTCATAGTTTCATCCCAAAATTTATATGATAAAATTCACTATTTTTGGATTTTTATTTTATTTTATTTTATTGTGTTATTTACACTACACTATAAAAATGTATAAATGGACTCATTATTGAGAAGTATCACTTTATCCTCTAAACTATAAAAATGTACAGATGGACCCCTTAACTATAAAAATATATAAATTGGACCCCCTAACGGAAGGGGTCAAAGTGAAACACACCAAGAATTTAGAAAGTCTATTTGTACGCTTTTATAGTTTAAGGGACAAAATGATACTTCTCAGTAGCTTATGAGTTACATTTGCATTTTTTTTCATTTAGGAGGTCAAAATAATATTTCTCAATAGTTTAGGGGGCCTCTATGTAAATAATATATATTTTTTAATGTTTTATAATTTTCCCAAATTCAAATAAAACAAACTTATCAAACAGCGAACAAAAACAGTAAGTCAGTCCGACTCAAGATTAGTGGTTTGGCCCAATGCCATGGCCCATTACTCTAATTTTCTTTCCCATTTTCCACGGAAATTTGTTGTATGAAATGAATCCTCACTGCTCCGTTTTATTTTTGTGTGTATTTTATATTTTAATTGTCTACATGACCAAAAAAAATTTATTGAACAAAAATTTAAAGCTATTAAAAAAAATTAAACTAGTTGCACCACAGTATTACTTGAGTAATATTGTTCTAGCATGTTTAATTACAAAATTGGGTAAAGAGCTTCAGTTTTATATTGAATTAAGCCTTCTACCTTTTTTTTCCCTTTTTTTTTTTTTTTATCATTTATAGATAAATACTTTTTATAGGAATTTTAACGCAATAATTAGTTCAAATTTTAGAGATTTTAATTTTCGTGTGAAGTTAATGAACAATTGAAGAAAAATAGAATGATTCAAAATCTGAAGAACTTTAGAGAGAACCTAAGAAAGTTCAATTTGAGAATGAATAATTCTATATGTACTAATTAAGGGTCATGCTTAAGTGTGCAACCCCCTTAAGGTTGCACACCATATGCAACCCAATTGTTAGCCGTTAGATTACAATAATTGATCAAGACCATTGAATTGTTTAATCCTGAAAAAGTTGAAACCGGGGCAACCGGTTAATGCTTGTATTTGCATGATTGCATCCCACTCACTCTCTGTATTTCGTCTCTATCTCTCTCTGTTCTCCTCTCTGTGTAAGGTTGAGTCAGTGTAACCGTTGATTTCCATTACAGGGAGAAGCCCCTGTTGGGTTCGTTCCATTGACGAAGCTCTGTAGGGAACAGTATAACGGGCGATTTCCAACAACAACGTAACTAGAAGGCTGTGTTGATTCCATTGCTGAAGTGAAGCCCTTCTCTCGAACTAGATATGAGGTATGGAGCTGTGTCCCTCTCTCTGTCTCCCTCTCTGTCTCTCTGGCCCGTTCACTTCAGCTATTTTCCCTCAACTAAACCCCCATCCTAACTTCAACCGCTCTACGCTTCGCTCCAACGGAAACCCCTCCATTGGCAGCTAACCTTTCTCTTTCTGACCTAATCAAGTGAGTTTGTGTTAGATGTAAGTATATAGTAATATTGCATTTAAAAGGAACCAAAATAAAAAAACAAATTACATAGTAAAAGAGAAAGAGCATACATCAATGGTAAATGCAGAAGCATTTGATTTACTAGATGCACCGGCACTGCAGAAAAAGGATTCCACAGATTCCAACACATGTATGGCACTGTATTTTCGTTGAAGACCCTGAAAATCAGATAAACTTGAAATATGATATATTATAATGGAATTTTGGTAACGAAAGACAGACATTATGGATTCTTGATAGAGGTAAAAGTAGCTTCAACAGTACATCGCATCAAGAAGTCCTTCACAACATCAGGAGAATAGATAACACATTGATTCATGCAAACTAGGAAAAATATCCACACCTCAAGTGTGAAAGATAGGACATTCTTCTCAGCCACATGAGACGAAATTATCTTCCTGGAAGGAGGCATGAATGACCATGCAAGCCCCCATCGACAAGTTCGTCCTTGGACAAATTCAGTTGTCTTAACTATAGTAACTCCAACCTCACGAAGTTTTGATATCAGAATCTTCAAGTTTGATTTCCTTCCAACCAATGATGTGTACCACCTATAAAGAAAGTAAACACTTCCAAAGTTTATCTAATTACATGAGCACAATGAGGCATTAAAGATAAATGAAAACGGGGCATTTAGAAAGTTTGATACCGAAAAGACTGCTTCAATTGAAGACTATCTCGAATAATTCGACTGATAAAAGCCTCCTCTCCACCGGGACAAACCATCTCCTTTGGAGTCCCACCACAAGAAGTTTTTGGATTTAGTCCTGCTTCCTCCATTGTTTCAAAGAATGGAGGATTACACATACAGAAGTCAAATTTCTCACCATCCCTGACAACACCAAGAAGTACAGGTGGTCCATGATAACTCTTATTCACATCTGAATGCAATTTGAGTGAACCTAAAGGGGCAGGCTCTGCCTTAATAGCCTCAATATCATACAAGTGTGTACCACTTTCCCCATCAACCAACTGACCATTAGATCTCTCCTCACCATTGTCCACCTTCCGAATTTCAATTAAATCAGAAATCTGTGGGTTATTTTTCACGTTTCTCTCCGCCCACTCTAATGCAACATCAGTCACATCTGCCAAGTTCAGCAGCATTAGAAGCTCACTAAACTTTCTACTATAAATGTCTTGTGACAAGGGACAACACAAACTTGACAAATGAAAAATTCAAATAAATTACCTGACCCAACAAAACTCCATCCCAGAAGGGAAGCACCAAGAAGCGGGTATATGCAATTGGCCCCGGTTCCAATATCAAAACCCCTTACAATATCACCATTGCCATCAGCATTAGTGTTTGTTAAAATGTCTGATGACAATATATCTTCAATCCAGTGGATGTAATTAGATCTATTTGGCACAGTAGGGCAGAGCTGCCCATCAGGAATCCACCTACAATATTGCATTTATCTCTAAATTAACCACAAAAGCCAATACTGCACACAATGGGCTCACTACGAACACCCACATTGGAAATGCAATGTTTGGTTTAACATTGTAGTGGGAAAAAAATAAAATAAAATGGTCCATTAGTTGCGTTCAATTGAGTTATTAGCTCAGTTGAGCAACGTTTAAAAAATTTAAAAGAAAACCAACACCCACATGCTTAAACCCATGAGTGAATTCTACAAGAACTTAAAGCTCCATTTGGATGTTGAGAAATAGCAAGAAAAAAATTAAAGAATTTAAAGCATAAAAACTTTTGTATCCAAGAACCACAAGCTCCACTTAACAGAGGTCAATTCAACTATTTACTTTTGTATAGGTAATTTACTAAATATCAGAAGAGCACAAAAAAACCCCAAAAAAAGGAACCAAAATTTTCTTTCAAATTTCTTTCCTTTGCCTAAATTTTCTCAGAAACCAAACGGAGACTAAAACAAAAACAAATAAAAAAATATTGAAGAGTACCAATTGAGGGCATGATCGTGGAGGAGCAAAACCCTAGTGAGCTCTCTGGTGGCATTGAAGTCGGTCCAATCGATTCGAGGCCGACCGTCACGAGAGTAGAAGACGAAGGGTTCGAATGTCGGATAGAAAGAGGCTAAGAGGCCGAAGTCGGGTGGGTTGTCGGAGTACTTGTTCCGAGGATGTATGGTTGGCCTCTCCACCGTCGATCTCTTCCTCTTCTTCTTACTTGTCATTGTTTTGCAGAGTGCAACCAAATGGGGCTCTCTCTTATTGGACTTCAACAATTTGTTTTGGGCTTTGCATTGGACTTCAAACATGCAACGTTTATGAATATTTGTTGTTGGGCGGCTATTTTGGGCTGGTTGGTAAATATTTTTGGGCCCAAATTGGGCTGAAAGTACAATCACTCTGTTTTGTTATTGAGTTTTCAAATTGTGTTTTAATATTTTGGCCAACTTTTTTTACTTTTTAAATACACATCTACAAATAAATGAATGCAAATAAAAATAAAAAATAAAATTGTGAAAAGCGTTCATTTTAATCAGGATCCTGTAAGTAAACGATCGGATTAGTTTTCTAAACTAGTCAATCTAATGGGCAGAATACCAAATTAAATATTTGTATAATGATGCTATTCACCTTGTTTGTTTTAGAAAATTGAACTCATTTTTTTAAAGATTGAGTTTTTGATTTTTTGTATTTTTTTTTTTGTTTTAGTCAAAAATTTTAGTATTTTTTTATTTTTTAAATACACCTAACCTAAATACACTTACAAAAGTATAATATTTATAAAAAAATTTAAGAAATTCATCAAATACAAAAATATATATAATTTAATATATTTTCGTATTCTTTTCTATTTATTGAATTTTTTAAATATTTTTTTATAAATATTTTATTTTTTAAGTGTATATAAGTTATGTGTATGTAGAAAATAAAATTTTACTTAAAATATGAAAAAAAATATTATTATTATAAATAAAACAATACCGAAAACAAAAAAAAAAATATGATTAGAGTTCAAAATAAAAAATAAATAAAAACAGAAAGTAAGCTACGGAACCTAGTGACATGTTGCGAGTCCAGATTCTCTCCTTGCAACTCCTTCTTGCTATCTTTCTTGTAACGGTTGAGATTAACTGTTGTAATATTCAATAGTCATAAAAAAATAAATAAATAAAATAAAAAAATTAAAATCAACCGTTAAATATTGCGATTTTAACCGTTGTAAGGAATATTGCAAGGAGGAATTCTATTTCAAAAGGCAGCAATCGCACAGGCTGCAAAACCTTGTCCGTTTTTGGATAGGTTGATGTGATGCCCCGTTATTGGTCTTGTGGTTATCTAACTTTCCATAAGCATATCGGTATCACACACACTTACAAAAAAAAAAAAACAAAATAAAAAAATTTCAAAGCTATTTAAATAGTTATTATATTAGTTAAAAAATTAAATTAAAAATAATAATTTTTTAATTCTTTTGAATTTTTTAATAACTTTTTAGAGTGATTAAAGTGAATTTTTAGTGAAAAATAATTTACCAAATGAATTAAAATACTTTTGGAAAAATAAATTTTGTTAGTTAATAATGCTTAACACTTTTTTATCTCTTATTAATTTAATAATATAATTTCTATAAACATATAATAAATTTTTTTATTAAATTATAATAGCATCATAGGTTTATAACCATTATACACAAAATCTATTTATATTTAATATTTTATTTCCACTTCCCGGACTTGAAATTCCAAACTTAGTTCCAAAATATAATTTTTTAACTGTGCATTTCCCTTTTTAAAATCTTTCACATTCTTAGATTTTCAAAATTATTATGTTGAGAAAGTGAAGGTTGTGTCAATTGAATCTAACCCTTGATCCAAAAATTCAATTCCAGCTGCCAAATTATTCAATAATGGGAAGAAAACAAAGAACCAAGAAAGCTCTATTGCCTCTTTGGTTATCCAAGGTAAAATTTAATATTCATTTGCAGTTGATAGCTTTGGATATATCTAAAGCAACTTTCAGTGGCCCTTATTACCATCAAAATAATAAAATAAAATGTATCTACCCTGATTAAAAATGGAAGGTGTGTCATCACTCCAATCCAAATCCAAAAAAAAAAGAAAAAAAAAAAGAAAAAGTTGATGTAACTCTTTGTCCAAACATGGTATAAGTACCAGTTCTAGGCTCCTCCATTCAGAGGTTGAGAAGAGGTGGGACCTTAAAAAAGATTAGGTCTACATACGTACATTTTGCTGACTCATCACAGTACAGTTTCTAATGGATAAGCATTTCAAAACAGTTTTGTGAATCCACAAGCCCACAACCCATTTTTCAAAGAAAAAATATTAAGTAATTTTAGAGCATCATTAATTAACGAAATGTTATTGATGTAGCTTTCTTAATTTATGAGAAAAGCATTATAAAAATTATGAAAAAGAAAAAGCGGTTTAAAAGTTACTATTCTTATATCCCCTAAATTAAAGGTATAATTTCGTACAAATGTGGACAGATTAATAATTTCAAATACATTAAATTAATTTTGTCTTATCTCAACAATCTGATAAATGTGAGAGATTATTATTTTACGTGTCAACTTTTCATTATCTCATTAGCTAAGAACATGGATATTATTTTGAACATGTTATTCTAAATTACTAAATAACTTCTTTTATATATTTATTTTACCCAAGTTATTACTTATATAGGTAGTCTATATAAAGTCGCACGCCCACAATTCATCAAGCAAGCTATGCAACCACACTCACATCCTAATCCCAAACCCACTTCTCATCAAACAAAAGCTTCTTTCTTCTTCCTCCTCTTTTACTTCATTTCTTGGATCATCACTTCATTCATTGCCAAATATCAATACCAAAAGACTATCTTCTTCGACTCCAGCTCGTGTCAAATTCCGACAACTCAAACTTGTCGCCGCCTATACCACCTCTGTTTGTGCTAACATGGCTTCATCTACATCACTACACGAGGTTTTGGGGATTCCGATGAATGCCACCAGCAACGAAATCAAGGCAGCGTACCGAAAATTGGCGAGGACGTGTCATCCTGATGTGGCAATGGTGAATCGGAGAGACAAGTCGGCCAATGAATTCATGAAGATTCATGCCGCTTACTCGACCCTGTCAGATCCAGATAAACGTGCCGTTTATGACCGTGATCTTTTTAGGTTACGTCACAGGTTTGGCTCTTCATCTGCCACGTTAGCTGCCATGGCGACTGCCACGTCAATGTCGGAATTTTCGGGCCATTATCCACGCCGAAATTGGGAGTCCGACCAGTGCTGGTAGTGGTATAGAATGACATTTTTTCTAACAGCAAGACACTGTGTTTTTGGAATTTTTTATTTTTTATTTTTTTAAATTTTTAGTATTGCCTTGGTATAGTTTTTCTCTAGTGGATTTTGTCGTTTTTATATTTATTTTTGTACAGATTTGTAGTGTTTGTAGAAGACTTGAACAGGATTCTGTGGCATTATTATATATATATATATATATATTATTAAATTATATTTTGAAGACCCACATACTTTAAAGATTGAGAATTATTAAAACAAGATAAGAAAAGAAAATTTAGAACAAAGCATCTTAGCCGAAAAGTTATCTTCATCCCAGGAATGATATGAGAGAAATATTTTTTGTTAGTGATGATAAATTATAAAATTCACATTATTTATACAAATTGTTTATTTCTATAAAGTGAGTCATCGATCTAAAAATGAACTAATGTGTCCTTGATTAATTTGATAAAAATGACATCTTCAATTTAATATATATCGTTGTAAGAGTTCATTTGGGATATAGGTTGATTTTTTTGACTATTTAGCTTGGGCTAAAAAATCTTGTTTATGATAGATTTTTTGACTTTTTTGATCTTTATGAGAGAAAAAAATCAAATGATTATGATTTGGATGTGATATTTTATCTTATTAATTTTTTAGTCTATTTTATCTTTTTATAATTATTTTAGTCACAATCTATTATGCCAAACCAGTGCTAATTGTGCAAACAACAATATGAAAATTCAAAAAATCTATAATTATTAGGTTAATTTAAATTTTAAAATTTGAAATAAAAATATATTAATATGACTCATTCATAATTAGTGAACAGTACATCACCATTCTATTTATATAAGGGGTGTTTTGAAAAGTTGGTTAAAAGTTGACTTTTTAATTTTTTTGACTTTTTAAAAAAAATTATGTAAAAAAATAGAGAATTGATATAATTTTAAGGACCTTTCTTAGGTATGCCTTGCATATCATTTACACCCTTAGTACTTTGTACTTACACCTTTTATGTATTGGGTTATAGGACATTTTATTGAAAGTTTACACATTGGTGACCTGCTAAACGGGTCACTTGGCAGGTAAATTAATTAAATAATATAATATATTAATAATTTCAAATGGTGTAAGTGTTTTGACGAAAAGGTATAAACTTTCAGAAAATGGTGTAAGTATTTTGATGAAAAGGTATAAGTTTAGAAACTTTTCAAAAAAGGTGTAACGTTTCAAAAAAAGGGTGTAAAATTTAGTTTAGTATAAATTTTATCGACAAATCACAGTTTAGTCGCTAAAGATTGAAAATCTTATTACCATCGGCCCGCTTCTTCTCTGTTTCCCACCACCCCTTTCTTTGTTCTCTTTCACACACACAGAGAATAGTCACCACCAATCCTGACCCCCGCTGACCATGCAAGCGTCAGTGGCCTCTGGTGCTTACCGCCATCTGACATCGCCACTGCCACGGCGATCGTTATTGCCACCGCCACCGCCACCTCCACTGCCGCAAATGAAAGGTTTTTTTCTCTGTCTCTATCGATCTTGGTCTCTCTCTGTCGATGTCGGTCTCTTCTTCGTTGATGTCGGTTTTTCGCTATTGATCCCTGTCTATGTCGGTTTGTCTCCAGCGATCGTGGTCTGTCTCTGTCCATCTCGGTCTCTTTCTGTCGATCTCTGTCTGGTTGTCTTTGTCGATGGTCCATCTCGGTCTCTCTGTCTGTCGATCTCGGTCTGTCTGTCTGTCTCTCTCTCTCTCTCTATCCCTTCCTCTCTATTAAAAATGGTTCTATTTAACATTGACATACTTGGTTGGATTTGGAATTGGAGTCGGTATTCCAAGCCCTCCCAAACTGGTTTTCTCTGAAACGGACTCCTACTGGGAGAAAAACGAAGCCCTCCGAAACGTCGCTTCTCTCCGACATTGCCAATATTTGAACGATTGGATTTTAGGAACTTACACGTTTTCTGACAAAACGGAACTTACACCTTTTGCAAAGTTACTTACATCTCTTGTGAAAACACTTATACTATTTGTGGAATGTTACACATTGTGAAATAATTTATTTTGTAAAGTTTACACCTTTTCGTTGAAATACTTATACCTTTTGTGAAAAGTTACACCTTTTGTGAAAAGTTACTACTTTTGTAAACAATTTTATTAAAAAAATTTACACCTTTTATTGGAGGTTTCACCTTTTCTGAGAACAGAACTTACAGTTTTTGTCAAATAACTTACATCTTGTGTGAAAAAATTTACACCTTCTATGGAAAATATGTTTGCATAAAGTTTACACCTCTTAGTGGACACCTTTTGTGAATTAGAAAATTTACACCTTTTGTGACATAACTTACATCTTTTGTAAAAATATTTACACCCCTCATGGAAAATATTTTTGAATAAAGTTTACACCTTTTGTTAAAAACTACACCTTTGTTGAAAGTTTACACCATTGGGGGAAATACTTACACGTTTTCTGAAAAGTTACTTCTTTTGTGAAAATATTGTCATAAAATTTATACATTTTATTGGAACTTACACTTTTTCTGAAAACAAAACTAACACATTTTGTCACATAACTTACATATTTTTGCAAACATTTACACGTTTTATGAAAAGTTACACCTTCTATGGAGAATATGTTTTCATAAAGTTTACACCATTTGTCAAGAACTTACACCTTTGTTGAAAGTTTACACATTTTCTGAAAGGTTACTCTGACTGTGAAACAATTTTTTCAGGAAATTTACACCTTCTATTAGAAGTTACACCTTTTGTGACATAACTTACATCTGTTTTGAAAATGTTTACACCTTTTATGGAAATCTGATTGAATAAAGTTTACACCTTTGGGGGAAATTCTTAAAGTTAAATGAATTATGTTTTCCATAAAATTTACACCTTTAATGGGAAGTTACACCTTTTGTGAAAAAAAAACTTACACCATTTGTGACATAACTTCCATCTTTTGTGAAACCACATACAAGTTTTTGAAAATATACACCTTTCATGGAAAAAAATATTTGCATAAAATTTATGCCTTTTGTTAAAACATAAACATTTTCTGAATGGTTACACCTTTTTGTGGGAATACTTACACCTTTTCTGAATGGTTACTGCTTTTGTAAATTACTTTTTCCATAAAATTTACACTTTTTATGGGATATTACACCTTTTCTGCCAGCAAAACTTACACCTTTTTTAAAAATTTACACCTTCTATGGAAAATATGTTTTCATCAAGTTCACACCTTATTTTAAAAACTTACACCTCTTCTGAAAAGGTACTCCTTTTGTGAAACAAAAATTTTAAAAAAATTTACACCTTTTAATAGGAGTTACATCTTTGGTGAAGACAATTACAGCTTTTTTTGAAAATTTACACGTTTTATGGAAAATATGCTTTGATAAAGTTTGTTTAAAGAAATTATTTGACAAAAGGTATAACCTTTTCAAATATGGTGTATGTTTTTCCGAAGAAGGTGTAAATGACCTCAGAAAAGATGTAAGTTTTGTTTTTCACTAAAGGTGCAACTTCAAATAATAAGTGTAAATTTTATGAAAAACGTTTTTCCACAAAATGTGTAATTTTCCAAAAAAGTTGTAAATATTTCCACGAAAATGTGTAAATTTTTAGAAAAGGTGTAAAATTTAGGAATAGGTGTAAACTTTGTGAGAGAATCAAGCTGAATGTTTCGTTTTTACAAAAGATATAAGTTCCCAAAGAAGCTCTAAATTTTATCGATGACTTATATGTTGAAAATTTTATCACCACCGACCACCCAACCGTCACGGGCCACCGTTGCCCACCGCCGACTGACATTGCCACCGCCACCGCCACCGTCGCTGGTGCAAATCAAAGGATTTTTCTGTCTCTATCGATCTTGGTCTCTCTTTGTCCATCTCGGGCTCTTCTCTGTCGATGTCAGTCTCTCTCTCTCTCTGTCTGCCGATCTCTGTCTGTATTGATCTTGGTTTGTCTATGTCGATCTGGGTCCGTCTCTCTCTGTCGAACCATGTCTATCTCGGTCTCTGTCTGTCGATATCGGTCCATCTCTCTTCCTCCCTTCGTCTCTGTCTGTCTATATTGATATCGAACCATGAACAACACAAATACAGTTTGATTGGGTTCTAGCAACTTACGCGTTCTGCGAAAAAACGGAACTTACACCTTTTGTGAAGTTAATTTCATCTTTTGTGAAAGCACTTACAGTATTTTTGGAAGGTTACAGTTTTTTGTGAAATAATTTATTTTGGAAATTTACACATTTTCGTTCAAATACTTACACCTTTTCGGAAAAGTTACCTCTTTTGTAAAATAATTTCATTCCAAAAATTTACACCTTTTATTTGAAGTTACGCCATTCTGAAAATAGAACATACACCTTTTGTCAAATAACATACATCTTTTGTGAAAAAATTTACACATTTTATGGAAAACTACATTTCATAAAATATGCACCTTTTGTTAAAAACTTACACCTTTTCTTAAAGTTTACACCTTTTGTTGGAAATACTTACACGTTATCTGAAAAGTTACTCCATTTGTGAAATAATTTTTTCCATAAAATTTACACCTCTTATTAGAACTTACATTTTTTGAAAACAAAGTTACACCTTCTGTGACATAACTTACATCCTTTGTGAAAACAGTTGCATATTTTTTGAAAATTTTCACCTTTTGTTAAAAACTTACACCCATTCTGAGAAGTTACTCCTGTTGTGAAATACCTTTTATTATGACTTACACCTTTTCTAAAAACAAAAGTTACACATTTTGTGACATAACTTACATCTTTTGTGAAAATAGTTACACGGTTTTTGAAAATTTACATTTTTTTATGAAAATATGTTTTCATAAAGTTTACACCTTTTGTAAAAAACTTACATTTTTTCTGAAAGTGTACACCTTTTGGGGAAAATATTTACACCTTTTCAGAAATGGTGTAAGTACTTCCACTAAAAGGTTTAAACTTTCAGACAAGGTGTAAGAATTCACAAAAGGTATAA